TTAATAATTTCCAGTTTAAGACAAGTTTATTTATATTAATTAATTGCATATAATGTAAATTCAGTTACACTTAAATAAATGGTAGGTAGGATCGAACAGTTTAATTAATGATCGTGAATGTGGCACAACAAAGTAGTCAAGCTGAATTGGAAAATGTCAAAATCAGGACACTTTAGGGATTAATTTGGTTAAGGGTTGGCTATAGTAGGTTAGTTGGAGCAATTTAAACTAACCACAGCGTAACTTTCAAGATATTCATAACATTAAAAGAAAAAAATTAATCGGTAGAAAATCAATAAACATCAATTATAAAACGCTAATTTTTGAATTTGGCACTAAAAGGCAATTTTGAAACTCGTTTATTGTACCAGCTTCATGGATGTATATACCTATATCAAAAGGTAGAATGTTATGCTGCTTAAGGGCTTAGAATAGGTGCCAACATCTTCGATGAAAAAATCACTTCCCTTGTTTTTTTCACTCTTGATGATGGACTATGTCCGAAATATATGTCGAGTACCTATTAAATTTAGGGAAACATCTGAAATTTGTACTTTATTATATTTTTTGTATTGATTTCAATAATCATTAAGTTGATACCATTGTTTCATATTTATATTACTAGATATATGACCTTTAAGACACATTTAAAAATTCTGTACTGATAATGTTTTTATATTCTTTATAATGCTATGTTTGTTTGCTTTTTATTTTCTACTAAAAAAAGAAAGTTAATTTAAATAATTCTGTAAAATTCTCAACTTCTTCCAATTGAGTTTCTCAATTAGTAGCGTAAAAGTGACTAAAATTGAAGAGATATTCCAATTTTGTTATAATTCCTCGTAAGTTGTATATAATGAGAACCAAAATAATTTTATATAGATACAGAAATTCTGCCAATTCAGTAGCACAACAGAACGGCAAAAGTTTACGTAATTTATAATTTGCTTTTCAAGTTTTACTCTCTTCTGAAAACAAACAATTATATGGTAAAGGCGCACATGTTAAACTTTCTTTGTTGTGCGTACTACGAGTCCCCATTAACACCTTTTACTAATTCAATATTTACATTGCTTAGGTATTTAGCATTGTTGAAAGAATCAATGGTTTTTAAAAGAGTTGTTTTCTAAAAAGTCAAGAAATGGGTAGGCGGTATTTTAGTGATTTCGTTAGTCTGCCTGCTTGTTACTTTGTAACTTTAGCATCAACGCATCTTTTTAAAGTTATCTATTACAAATTTTGCAAGATCGTGGTTTTGAAATTCTTCCTAAGCATTACAGTAAAAAAGATGAAATGTTGTTATAGTTTATCACATATTCTAGACGTAATTAATCTTTCTATTCTCATGTCAACTAAAATTAGAAAACACATATAATAAGATACTACTACTACTAATGTAAGTTTATTGTTAAATGATCAAATAGAAGTACAGTCTATTTCAATTTGTTAGAATTGTGACCTTGAAGAAATCTGCGCGAAGATAGAAAGAATACACACTAGGCATGAGCAAGACAGAATTAGTTGGAACAAATTGAACGAGCAGAGCTCTCGATGGGCGGTCTTAGAAGATCGGTTAGAACTGTACAGTACTAGACGAAAATGTTTAGCAATTTCTTAAAACAAAAATGTATATAAATTAACAATAGAAAACAAAGCAAAAGCTTTATAGGTGTGTAGAACGTTAAGTTAATTCACTTGTTATTATTTTTGGCTAAATATGCTTTTAAATAAAGCATATTCTTAAATTTTAACGA